TGAAAACATGGATGCTTCAAAAACATCTTCCCCCAGCAGAACAGAAGATCTATAAAATAGGCCGCAAAGTTTCAAGGTGGTAACCCAAGATTAGTGTCACCAATTTAGTATTTGACCAAATGTCTCCCCTTCTGTTCCTGACTCATAACGTTTTATGTTAGTGTTTTATGCAGAATATTATGATGCCACAGTGAAACTGACCTTTGACCTTTTGGGCAAAAAAATGTCACCACTTCACCATTTTATCATTTTAGACATTTGTGCAAAATTCTGTCATAATTAGTGTATGAATTTCTGACTTATGGCCAAAAACTTTTTTTTTTTAGGTCACAGTGACCTTGACCTTTGACCACCAAATTCCAATAGGTTCATCCTTAAGTCCAAGTGGACGTTTGTGCCAAGTTTGAAGAAATTCCCTCAAGGACTTCTAAAGATACCACACTCATCTCAATAAGGTCTTGAGAAAATTTCTTCTTTCAAAGTCACTGTGACCTTCTGTCTGTCTCATAATTTTGTATCGTGTTCACCAGCATGAGATGAATGAGAGGTAATGGTGACCTTGACCTTTGAGCTATGACCAACAAATTCTAATCGGTCCACCCTTGACTCAAAATGAACATTCGTGCCAAATTTGAAGAAATTCCCTCAAGTGCAAGGTCACAGTAACCTTGACCTCTGACCACCAAATTCTAATCAGTTCATCCTTGATTCCATGTGGTCGTTTGTGCCAAATTTGAAGAATTCCTTCAAAGGTGTTCTTGAGATATTGTGTTCATGACTATGGGACAGACGGATGGACAGACGCCAGAATATATAATGCCTCTGGCCACGGCTACCACTGACGTGAATACATAAAAAATGGTAGAAAACCTAAACTTGATTAAAAACTCTGAGAGTTGAGATAGAAATTCAGAATACAGACCAGGAGCACGGTACACTGTAACAAACAGAATTAAAGCTGTAAAGTTTCTCAGGTTGGGTGTGAAAACTAGGAACAAGACTTCAAAGGAATTATAATTCAGTTTAGGTTTGAGGTTGATTAATAGACTAGAGTCAAAAATTGCTGCAACTCCCCCTCCTTGGCTGCTGCCTTAAGGAATGTGAGTATTATTATAACTGGGAGGAGTGGATTCAGTTAGGCTAAAATATTCATCATGACACAGCCAGGTTTCTGTAAGACAAATGAATTAATATGATTATCTGATATTAAATCACTGCTTTAGGTGACAGAGATCTGATGTTTCAAAGTCCACATTTAATTATCCTGTTTCGTTGTACTTTTAAACAAGAGGTGTTAATTTTTATGTTCAAGTCTTTTGTTTACTTTAGATTTAAATAATTTAAGTGGACGGGACAGGCACTGTTTTTATGGCATTATGGTTGGTTAACTGCTCTGAAGGCTCAGAGAAGCGTGTAAAACTGTGAATCTGTTTCCTGGTCTCGACTCTGGCTTGTCCTGGCTTAGAGACACTAATAAACTCGGTCAGGTTCCCAAAGTGAGATCAGCTCCATCCAAAGTGGGAGGAATGCCATCTCTCCAAGTCAGACCAGGGTTTTCCCAGAAAGTCCACCATTATTTACAAAGTCCACATCGTTCACTGGGCATATAAAACAGATGTTGACAAAATTTTCCTTTGGGGACAAAATTTACAGTTGAAAAAGGGACATAAATCCCAATATATGGCAATATGTGTTAGCATAATATTAAACGAATAAAAAAAAACTTTAAAATCACAATAATACTTTATCACCTCTTAAGTACAGTGACGATATCATGACTGTGGTCTCTGATGATTCTCATACCTAATATTTAGGATCCATTTGTGTTAGAGTAGGTGGTGGCAGTGTGCAACCTCAAATGCAACAAATGCAATCTTCCATAAAACAGAAAGAAGACAAGCAACTATGCACAGCTGACGCAGGATGTACTGCAACATTTCCACTATTAATTTATGCAGAAATGGCAAAAACTGGAGCATAAAAACTCATCAGAATGCAGGAAATGTAATGCTCAGGGTTCCTACATATTTTAACCAATAAATTTTCCAAACTTTTCTAAAACTTTCCCATAATGTTTTGCCCCATTTCCATGACTTTATTTAAGAAGTTTAAAATGGGCGGGCCTATATAGGGTTACAACTAGGGCTGTCAGCGTTAACACGTTAATCACGATTAGATTAATGCAATCCATAACGCGTTTATTATTTTTAATCCCATTTTAATTTCGCAAGCCTTTTTGTCCCTTCTACTCACCTGTAGTCGGCTCCTCTAGCTGTAGCGTCATGCTTCAAAGTGGCTTCCTGCAGTAAACTTACCGCGGGGATGGAATGAAAGAGTGCTACTGGACTTTTGAACGGCTTGTTTAACTTTAAAAAACTTCCAGACGGTTCACTTGACAAGTCAAAAGTAAAATGCAACCTGTGTCAAACGGAGTTTAACTACCACCGCAGTACGTCGAGTTTGAGTTACCACCTCCACGCTAAACACCCAGGTGCAGCCGGCGTACCCCAGCCAAGCGAGCCTCAGCTCCGCCAAAGTACCATTTTGGAGTGTGGGAGTAGCCGCAGACCCGTGGATGAAAGTACGTTGAAGAAGTTAACTAAAGTGATTGCTAAATGGGTGGCAACCGACTGCAGACCAGTCAACATCGTAGAAGACTCAGGTATTGTATTAATTTGGTCTACATGGCACTTTTTTGAAAGAAAATACAAAAGGTCAAAAAGGAAATTCTTTCTTTGTGTTCATTTGATTCCCAATTAAGACAGTCTGGTAAGAAATACTTTACATTATGGGCTTAAAACTGCCTTGAAATGCAAAATAACAGAATTTTAAACATGCAATTCAAAACACAATTAATCGCGATTAACTATGGAAATTCTGCGATTAATTGCGATTAAAAAATTAATCGTTTGACAGCCCTAGTTACAACCATACATTATGACACATGCATTTCCCTTCAGCGCTCACTTTATTCACTCAGTAGACATTCCCACCACCAACTAGCTGCATATGCCCACAGACTGGATCGGTACAGCAGCACATACTGCAATTCACAAAACGTCAAAGCTAGAAAACCCAAGATCGTACAGATGGCATTGCAATGTGACGTGAGTTTGGATTATTATTTTAACAGGTACACTCACCGGCCACTTTATTAGGTATGCCAGTTCAACAGCTAATCAGCCAGTCACATGGCAGCAACTCAATGCAGTTAGGCATCAAGACTGCCTGCTGAAGATCAAACGGAGCATCAGAATGAGGAAGAAAGGTGATTTAAGTGACTTTGAACGTGGCATGGTTGTTGGTGCCAGACGGGCTGGTCTGAGTATTTACTGGGATTTTCAGCACAACCATCTCTAGGGTTTACAGAGGATGGTCCCAAAAAGAGAAAATATCCAGTGAGCCAAAATGCCTTGTTGATGCCAGAGGTCAGAGGAGAATGGCCAGACTGGTTCAAGATGATAGAAAGGCAGAAGACCACAGCAGGTGCCACTCCTGTCAGCTAACAACAGGTCTATTGTCTCCGGTCTATGTGTATCACATGATGTTAGTGACGTTTCAACGAAGGCACCTGGAAAACAGCTTTTTTTGCTTTAAAACTTTTCCAGGAATTACATGACTGTGGGAACCCTGAGTGTTTGGTGCTTGACATTTCTGCTTACCATGTGTCCCCCCAGATGTTGAAAAAACCCACGCCTTTTCAGAAAAGGTTGAAATGTTATCTGTTCTAGCCCAAATTCAGACACAAGTAAGTAGTATACTAAAGAACAACAACTCTGCACAGAAACAGCTGAAAATAGTAAAAAGCAACTGTATATTCTCTGGCAAGTTTTCAGACAAACGGCTGGTAAGCGCAAAACACAGGCTCTGCAAGCACAAGATCATTTATTACCAAACAGACCAACTGAGATAGTTGACAGAAAAATCATTGCACAACACAAACATAACTGGTTTAAAATGTGTTTTTCAAACCTCAATTCCTTGAGGGTGTAGTGTGAAACAAACATGAAATTATATTATTCATTGCAAACACAACTGTCAGGGTATGCTCGCTAATTCTGAGCAGCACTGAGATGGATTTAGCTTTGCAGAATGTGCAACACTTATTTGATATATGCTCTTTTTTTTTTTAAACAGCCTCCTGAATGGTGCCTCAGCGCTGCAATGAAAAGGCAATGTGAAACTGCAAATCTGTGGTGTTAATGGAGATGGTTCACTTCTTCAAACTTGATGTAAACTGAAGGTGGTGCCACACCTGCTGCTGCAAATAAAAACTATAAAGACTAAATGTTCTCCACACTGCCGGGGGGAGGGAGGGAGAGAGAGGAAGGTACACATTGATTGCCAAAGAGAGAAAATGTAACCATGCCATCCATCAATGCTAGCAGCCTGTCATCTGTGGAGTTTACTTGAGAAGCAGAGAAAACAGGAGCTCTGCTTGCTCTTTCTCTCTGCGGGGTTCCCTTTCACTCCTCTGACTGAGCTTCTGATGGAGAGCAAAAACAGAAGCAATTCGTGGAAACCACAGAACTCGTTCAAACGACGCCCCTGTCAGGTTCTTAGTCATTCCGCCCGGCCCGCAGAGGCTCATTCACATCCTCAAAAAACTGCAGAATAAGACAGTCAATGAATCCAGGCATGACATTTGGCGCTGTCAAACGGAATACAACAAGCAAGCTGTGCAAACACTTCTATCACACGCTTAAATTGGCAATAAGGAAGGTTTTTACTGCCCTGTGGCACAAAATGACTCTAATTCTTCTAAGAAGGGTTGAAAAGAGGCTGACCAATACCCATGACTCAGCGATTATTGTGAAGAGCCAACATGTCTGGCTTTAAAAACTCATATTCTAGCTGCAACAAAAGCTCCCCAAGAGCAGATCTCACTGGGTCTGAAAAACACTTCTCACTGCAACATGCATTTGGACAAAACACACACACATTAAACAGAGAAAAAGAGGACTGATCACGCTCAGACAGACAACTCTCACTGATCCTACCTGTCTGATGCCCAGTCTGTAGGCGACAATGCGGTCCACTGCGTTGGGGTTCATCTGGGTCCACTGGAGCTTGAAGCCGTAGACTCTGGGCCTGTTCTGCCACAGAGGGCTGTAGGTATCATAGTAGAACTCTGGTGGGTAGGCCTTACCTGGAGAAACAGATTCATAATAATATTTAATGCTTTAAACTTCAAACCATACAGTGGAAATAAGGGCGCCTGTAACGTCCGCCTACTTGAAAAAAATCCCAAGACTGTATTAAAGCTGCAGTAAGCAGCTCTGGTTTCAGGCTTTAAAAAATCTAGCCTGTGATGGGAGACTTTGGCCAATCACAGGCCATTTTCATAGAAAGGGTGTTCCTATTGGCTGTTCTACAAATGCAGAAGTGCATGCACGTCCCTTCGGTGAAAACCTGTTCCAGTGGTGGAGAATCCTGCAAAGTAAGTTGGTATTCTAACACTTGTATGGCGCCTTTTCTAGTCGTCCGACCACTCAAAGCACTTTTACACAAAATGTCACATTCACTCATTCAGACACACATTCACACACTGGTGGCTGAGGCTACCATACAAGGTGTCACCTGCTACTCAGTAACCACCCACATGCTGTCACACAAAGGGCAGCCATTGGGAGCAATTTGGGGTTTCATATATTGCCCAAGGATACTTCTACACGACGAATGGAGGAGCCGGGGATTGAGCTGTCAATCTTCAGATTAGTGGACAACCTGCTCTACCTCTGAGCCTCAACTGTCTACACTACAAAACAACACAAGAAAGTAACAAGGACTCTGACAGTAAACAAAATAAAATCAGCAATATGTTCCAGCGATGGACAGAAAATGTTGCTAATAGTTCAGCCGAAGGCTTACAGCTGCAGCTTCATGTTCACATTTATGTAGCTAACGTTAGCATGAGCCTCAACTCCACCACCGTTTCAGACCACCTTGCTGGGAGGAGCTCCAGAACCTGACCCTCAGTGAGCGGCTGCAGCAACCTGAACCCAGGACAAACCCCTACTTCAGGCAACTGGACAGCCTGACTCCCTGCTGGACCACCAAATGTTCTGTTGCTGCTGTTACAAAGGTTAGACCAGACGCTGCTGCAGGCCACCAGCCCATCAGATGCTGAAGGGTTTGCTAAGTCAAGCTGCTACAGCCGCCAACCAAAGGTCCATCTCCTGAGCTGCTGCACATTCTTCTCACAGCGAAGCAGCCCACAGTGGTGGGGAGTGAGGTGGCTAACTTATTCTTCTTTTACATGTGGTCTAATAAACAACAGATAGAGAGTGGGGCAAGAAGAGGCTGAGCAAATAAGATGCACAAGGCTTTGCAATTGAATAAGATTAAATTATTATAGTATGGGAAACACCTGGTTACTTTATGAAGCGTGTGCATATGCCTGTGGTTGTCTGGTGGGAGGGGCTTAGGACAGATAGGAGAGAGCTGCAGGAGGAGGGTGTATATTCAAATTCTGATTTTTTTTGTTCATTTTCCAGATTCCTTTAAAGGGCTATCCCATCAACAACCGTTGCATGTTGGGGAAGATTCTCAGTCATCCAGGTCATGGTAGTCCTGAGTGTTACATCGTAGGCAACTGGACTTGCTTAAGTTTCTTGAAGGTGTTTCACCTCTCATCAAAGAGGCTTCTTCAGTTCTAACAAACTGGTGCAGAGTTGCACGCTTTAAACCCTGTGTGGGTGTGAACCCTTACAGTCGCTGAGGTCACATATCTGTTGCTATACAATTGACCTAAGGCTAAGTCCCGCCCTCAAACGCAATGAGCCAATCACATTGCGTATAGCCATTCCCATACTCGGACATTCTCTGCCTGGACGTCCATTGAAATGCATTACACAAAGTCAGTTTTGTTCGGTTTTATGAGCTTTTTCTGAGATTTGAAGTTTAAAAATGGTCAAACGGTGTGCATGGGGTACATGCAACTCTGACACAAGGTATCCTGAGAGGCTGGGCGACCAGGTGTATTTTTTACACTTTAAACCACATCTCAAGCGAGAAAAGTGTCTCCTTTGGATAAAGTTGTGTGGTAACGTTAGACCACAACATCAACTCAACGTGAATAAGATTAACAATGATGTCTACATCTGTTCTAAGGTAAGTCAACATTGTGTTTGAGGCAACATATTGTCACTTTGCTGGAAAGAAATATAAAGTTATCTTTAACATCTCTAGCAAACGTTAGCTAAAGTTAGCCTAACGTTAGCTCCTAGCTGCGTTGTTCATCATGTCACCTTGTTTGCTGGGAGTTCATTAGCCTATTTTGTTCTAGTTTTGTACTTTGGTGATAGTACATCATTGTTAGCTGTTGTCCAAAGGGCTCTAGTTAAGCTAACGTTAACTTCTGGAGCTTAGCTTCATTAACTTATCTGTAATGGCAGAGATAACAAAGGTTGGCAAACGTTATGCTGAATGATTCAGTGTAAATACTGTAGCACCAAACTAACGGAGAGACACTCTTGGTAAAGATGGTAAAAAGGCCGTTATCCTTTTCTCATATTCTGAGCCAAAAACCTTAACTTCAGTGGCACTTTAACTTGTTGTCTTTGATGGTGACGGCAACCAGATGCGGTTCACAAGCGTACACTGTGACCTGTAAATTTTGGCTTGTAATTTAAGCTTTTCATCGACCTTCTCAACAATAAAATGATGAATATATCCCTCCAATGCGTAGTTTAGGCCCTTTTGGTTACTTCTCAATGACATCTGATCGTTATGTCCGCAAAAATCATCAATTGCCTCCTGTGAAATGCCGTGTACTGTGACACCTGCCATAGCGCCGAACACTGAATGTTGATAGTTTGTCTGAGTGAGTGGAGGGGGCGTGGCTTAGCCATAGGTCAATTTGGGCCACCCTTCGACCGGTACGGACATATGAAAGAACATTTAGAATGCTGGCTGATTACAGAGACCACCTGCGTTTCAATTTGAGATAAAGGCAACACGGGATCATTCCGACACCCACACAGTCCGTTAGAAGTGAGGAAGCCTCCTGGATAAGAGGTCAAACGTCTTCAAGAAACTAAAGTCAGTCCAGCTGCTTAAATTATAACACTTAGAAACAGCAGTAGTGGTGCTGCATTTGCATAAAGTTGGGTCACAGAGGGACGAGACACCTCTACAGATGACGTGTCTACATGCACGAGCTGACTTTACTTTATATTTCTTTTTTTGGTACTATATTGTGTCTTATTGATTATTTTATAGGCAATTTTAAATCTTTGTCTTTGTTTTATTGAATATTTAGGTGAGATAACTTAAAACCCTTGAAGGAGTTTTTCATCTCACCTGCACAATCTGTTTTTTGTTGTTGCTGATGTTTTTATACCAATTGTTTTAATACTAATAATACGAATATGAATACTTTGTAAAATGGAAATGCTGTAAGAAAGCACGTCTTGAACATTGAACATCTCAGAAAGCTAAATAAATGCCACTTGTCCCTGGTGATGATACTGAAATGTTAAAGTGGCCACAGCCAACAGTTCTCCTGCCAGGACTGAGTCAGTGGGGTGGAGGGTGGGGTTGCTTATTCATAAAGTCTATTATGAGCAATCATTTCTCATTTTACATTGTAAATGAATGACAAACATTTTAAGCAATTCTACGGGTAATGCTGCTGTTATTGATCGGTAAAACTTAATGATGTCAGACTAAACATGTTCACTTTGAAGACGGATTATCCTGAACACGTTCAGTAAAACAACTGATGTCAAACTGTCAGATTTAACATTCAGTGATGGAAAGATGGAAACACTCTACACCTCCACAATGACTGGAATCTTTTTTTAAGTGGAGGACTGGAAACAACAATCAAAACAAACACAGGACTGTGCTGAAATACTGGCACTGCTGTGAACACTTGAAACCCCAGAACAGCAGAGCCAGTGTCTCACAGTAACTACAGCACTAATCTGTATATTAATCAGTCTATCTTACACACCAGCGCAGATCTGAGTGTAGAAATCATCATACGATAGGGTTCACTTGTGATTCATGAATTATTCTTATCTAGCCAATCACTGCAAAGGAATGATTGGGCGTTAATAAATGTGGTGACTGAAAATTGTCATTTACAAATTCCCACACAAATGAAGCTCAGCTAAGTTCAATCAGGAAGACTTTCTCTATGCTTTATCCACTCACAGTTCTCTCTCTATCCCACTCCCAGCACTTCCACCAATCAGCTGATTACAGGCGTTCCCTCTCCTGGTTAGCCAATCAAACTTATTTACGATCTCCTTCAGCCATTTATGTCGCTGCTGCCAAATTTTAATCTGTTCTTTAAGGCTTTTTAAGGCTCCTCCACCCCATTCACCTCCAGCCACGTTATCCAGAGCCCAGGATGAGCTCATCAAAGCCCACTCCTCTTCACATCCACATCCTCAGCTCCCTCTTCATCTCATCACCACCACTAGCGTCTAGACTCCATAGAGGGGGGATCCCTACTCTACTAGGTCTTTACCACCCTCCTGGAATATAGGACACCATGATGGGGTCTGATCGCCAAAGACTTACATTTCTCATACTCATGCGCACATGTGAATAAATATTCTCTCTCCTGATTGAATACATTCTGTATGTAGAGGCCTCGCCGTCTAGAGTTTACAATGTGGAGAGGTGTAATACGGCCAAGAAGAGACACTTCTCTAAGCTAGAACTGGAAATGCTGACGTCCCAGGTCCAACTTATTTGACAGCCTGAAAAGAAAGGAAGCCTTCAAAAGAAGCTGGAAAAACGCAGCATGGGAAGAAAACACTGCTGCAGCCAACAACAATGGAGCGGACAATCAAACTCCAGCTCAGGTTGGAGTATTTGATTTATGCATTCATGATATGTACCAACCTATAGAGCTCGTAAGTCACGCCCCTTCTGGTAGACCCCCATCGGACCTCTAGGCTCGGAAAATATGAATGGGAGTCAATGGAGAAAAAAATTATTATTTTCTGGTCCCAGTTATTAAATGCCTTGGATTACACAAATGTTTTGTATGGGTCTAAATAATATTTTTTCATGTTAAGAGTTTGACAGTTTATTGTATGATTCTTCAGTTAAAGGCTGTGGAAACAACGTAATGAGAAAGACTACAAGTCGCCTATGTGACGTCACGTCATCACACTTTCCCTCCACTTC